TTATATGTGATGAGACAAGCAAGATAAATTCAAATAAAAACACAGATGTGAAATACTCTGTCGGTATAATACTGCAGAAAGAAAAAACAGAAGATTAAAAAAAAGAGATAGAGCTGGAAATAATTAAAGTCTACAAGTCCATCAACACAAACCAGGGATGTCAGTATAGAAAACTTTACACTTACCCTGCACTTGTCGCACTTCTGTCCAAGCACATTTTCCTTACAGTGGCACTCTCCAGTCTCCTGGTTGCAGACCTCAGAAACAGAACCATTAGTATGGCACTGACACGCTGCAGGAAAGGAAAAGACAGGAGAGACTGAGAACAAGCATATTTAACAATAACACATGTTCTGAGTGCGTTTATCTAACACTATGGTGGGTCGGATAAGAGGTACTGCTTAAGGTCTTCTTTTCAGGATTAACTGCTGATATCCACTTGGTCACTGCACTTCTGAGAAAATATTCTGTTGCTCAAATATTTTTTGTAGTCTAGTGGGTTGAATGAATTTTGAAAACTGTTGTCTGCATTTTTCAAAATTCTCACTTAAAAAAAATAAAAATGTTTCAAGCACCTATTTGAGCACCTCTCAATTGCAAAGAAAAAAGGATTGCACGTAGAATTGTACACATTCTATTTTTCTCTTATATACTGCATTTCTGTGTATTTTTGTCTCAATCTCTGTGCCTACATCCTATTTTCCTAGCAAAATATAAAGACATAAGGGACTGATCAAGACTTTTGCACAGCACTGCATAAGAAATTCAAGATATAGCACATTTTGTTCCCACAAAATGACTCTTTAGAACCTTACTCCTAATACTTTGCATGAATGTAATTTTTTATTTAAGATTTATGTCCCGATATCCCTACTGAGATAATAATACATAAATAAATAAAATGTGTTTAAATCATTACTCAAATAAATAAAGTAAATAAAGACACACATAACCCTGCCATTCAACCACGTATCCATACAACTAAAAGCTTGAACATCACAGCTTGTATCAGGTAGATGGGCTGTCAGAAGGAAATGCGTATATGCTTAAAAACACACATAACCATATCCATCTGTAAACACACCCTGCAATTAACAGCACACATCACATTGGACAAACACCAGTGGGTATTTGTAGTTTGTGTTGCCTTCTGTCATGCTGTCCTCTTAGATATAAAAGAGGAAGAAGGACAGACATGACTGTGGGATGGGAAATTGAGGTGAGAGGCAGGGGTTCACAACAGATGCCCCCACAAAGAGATAGGGAGATGGAGAAATACACACAGATATGCAGAAACATTCATACGATACATAACGGACATTGCAGAAAGCCATGCACATGCACACCTGCTCAGCCACATACATGCAGATGTAAATACACACATACGGCTGATTAAACATGCGAGAAAACATGCACACATACACCTGCCTCTGTTTCACACTCTCTCGTACTCTGTCTCACCTCCCCAGCTTCACCCTTGGGGAACCATCTGGACTGTTCTGTCTGTTGCTACTATGTGGACCTTGTTGTGGGATAAATCACTACTTCATTTTTTTTTCCTCTTTTCAGTGTTGGAAAAGTAAATGTTTCTTAGACTAAATTTGTTTTGTTACTCAGCAATCATCAATCTGTCAGATTAACCAACTGGAGGAGTAGTTACTGTGCATCTGGCATCCAAAGTGCCAGTGTAAAAGCGCATTCTTCCCCAAAGAAATGCCAGTGTTTGGTACTATGAAAAAAATCAGGAATATCCCCTGTAATTTTTACCATGGACACCATGCCCTATAACTTGTAATAGTAGACGTTGTTAGCCATCTCCAACAATTCCTTTACTCTGGCCTTATTTTTGAACTTACTAAGCATCACATGTTGTCCTTTTACATCATCTTTTAATGAATTACCACAGCCTCCAATGTGCATACTGGGTATGTGTCCAGGGACTCAGTTGGGGTGTCTATTCATGAGGAAAATGAGACCAAAAAAAAAAAAAAAAGACCAAAAAAGACCAGATTGTCGTAAATATTACATCTTGAAACCTTGTATCTATGTATCTTTTTTTCATAACAATTACATAATTGGGAGAATACAGTAGTTTACCTGCCCTTTCTTCTTTATACTATTGAGGCTAGTTGTTACGCACCCAGCTCCAGGGACTCAGGGTCCGTGGGCAGTGTGGACTACTGTTATAATTATTGCTGTGATTTTGTGATGTGTGTTGTCTGCCCTGCTGCTGTTCTTGTGATTCCCTGTCCTGGTATGTATAGGCAAGTGGGTGTGTCTGTGAGTGTGGCTGAGTACTGGGTTTCAGGTAGGCCTGGTGGGCGTGTCCTATCTGGAGGATGGCCACACCTGAAGCAGATGATGACTCACACACCTGCAGCTAATGAAGCGTCGTTGGGGAGCTTCTTTAGACGGTGGCTGAGCGCTCCTTGTTGTGGGATCATTGTGTGAGACTCCACATTAGTGTTATTAGTATCAAGTCCAGTGAGTGCATGCCTGCGGTAGTTGAGTGTCCTGACAAGTTGCTTCTTTGTTATTTTTCTCCAGGAAGGAGCAGGGAAGACAAGAGCAGCGAGCACAGGGTGCGGGGACACACAGCGGAAGAAAAATT